CCACGGGATGCTGCGGGCGAGGGTGGCCCATCCCGTCCCGTCCCCGCCGCCCCGCGACGCCTCTTACCCTCCGTAAAGATTCAAGTTTGACCAAGTCCTGTTGATTTAATCATTTTTTAATAAAGCCATCGTTACTGAGTACACCAAGATTGCCAGTTAAGCTCTCTATATGTCGCTGGAGGTAACAGCGCTGTGATCGACAGCGGAACGGAAAAAAAAAAAAGAAAAAGAAAAAAAAAAAAAAAAAGAAACCAAACGAAAAAAACAAACCCCAACCGAAACGAGGTAGGTTAAAACCAGCAACACAGACCTTGTTATGCGACACCCCAACACCACAGGCGGCCATGCTTGCAGCTACTGAGAAAGAAAACCCCAGATACGCACCGAAAACGGAAATCAACTGAGCAGAGTTTATAAGGACACGATTCAACCTGAACTAAACACACACACACGGTTCGGCACAGATGTTCTCTTCCACTGTATGTTGGGTAATTCCTAGGGAGCGGAGGGGGTGGACAACGAGTAGAGATTCAGACCCTTGGCCAAAGAAACCACACATATATATTTTTTTTTTTAAGCTCTTTACAAGCCCAATCCAGCAACGCGGGGGACGGGGCAGCTCGTTTCTCGGTCCCCGTCCCCACACCGGCTGCCTCCGCACGCCAGCACCCGGCTCCGGGCTCAGGGCGGGGGGCGACGAGCACCCACAGCTCGCGCCGGCATCGGGGTCCGGCGCCCGCGGCATCCCGGGAGCCATCTGCGGCCACAAATCCCGCCTCGGGGGCGAGCGCGGGGCTCCTCCGACCGCTCCGCCGTCCTCTCCTCCTCCTCCTCCGATCCCCTGTCCCCGCGCCCACGGCCAAGCCCCGGGGCAGGCGGGCACCTCCGGAGCAACAACAAATGGCACCTCTGTCCCTATCAAGACACACCATTATGTGAAGATCCATATAGAAATATGGATTGACAGACTTGACAAAAATGGTAGCTGATTTTTATTAGTCTAAGGCTAGTAGTTTAGCCATTTAAAATCCATTTCCCAAAAGAGGGGAAAAAAACCTATTATTTTTTCTCTTCTTTAAAAATCCGTTAAGCCGTTGCTGCCAAAAGCAACATGTAAATGTTGGTGAAGGCAAAAGATTCCTAAAATTGCCCAGCTATATGGTTATGGCCTTCATCACAAAGATAAAAGGTACATTTATTGTGCTGTCTCTCACCAGATTTAATTGGTAACTTTACAACATACTATATATTTGATGCTAGCAGGCAGACAGAATTAAAAACAGACTTTTTGACACTGTTTCTTTCCCCGTTCTTACAAAGTAGGGGACAAAGAAAAAGTAAAATTAAAAAAAAAAAATAGAATAAAATAAAGGAAAACTCATAACCCACTATAACACAGCGTAATCAGGAGACCTCGGGGGGTCCAAGCGCGAAAGTCCATCCCTGCCCGCAGCCCCCGCCCCAGGGCTGACGGCGCCGGGGGAGCGGTGTTGCTCGGGGTCCTCCGCATCTGCCTCTACAGTGTTAGTCCACGTGTTCAATGTCCTTTAAATTAGAAATAATGCCATCGCGGTGAGTGCCAAGTGCTCCTCTGTTACCAGTTCATCATGGAGTTTCTGTTGAGGGTCATGAAAAACACTTGGCTGCTTCCTCCGGATCTCACCGATGCAAAAAATACCTGTTTGGAAGCAAAAAAAAGCCCTTATGAATAATTTTTATTATTGTAAGCAAAAGTCTGTTAATTGTCTCGGTGAGCAAGGAAAGCAGGAGCTGCCCCAACACCCCGTGGCTCCCTCTGCCTAAACCTCCCTTCCTGCTCCTTTTCTCCAGAAATTTTAGTGGATCCATTGCCTGGTTCTCAGTTTTCCACGGAGCTCAGGGGCCGGCGCTAAGCCATGCCAGGCTCGGGTCAAATTGAACCACGTATTAGTAAACACAGTAATAAAACCTCCCTCTCTATCACTACCAAAGAGAACAAGGTTTGGAACGCCTTAAAAATACGAAGTTTATCACATTTTACTGCCACAACAACATTTATGGCGCAATATTAATAAGGCTGCCGTCAGAGGTTTGGGTCTTGCTGAACTTTAACCATCTGGGTCAATATCTGCCCCGGTTTGAAATGGTTTTCTTCATAAAAGTTGAGTCCTGGTATTTCAGCTGTTCCTGAAAGTAAAGCTCGGGAAATCTGCTTTCCTTCAATATGCTCAAAGCACAGAAATGTATCAGGACTCTGCACGAAGAACACGATTTTTGGTGCTTCTATGAGGATCCACCAGCATTTGACCCCAATGGAAGTCTTAAAAAGTAAGTAAGCTATAATTTGCAAATGTTGAAGGGGACAATCTGAGGCCTCTGTCCTTTTTAAAACCAAAAAAATTATTCAATCTTCACATGTCTTTCATTGAAAGAGAAACATCTGGGTTTGGTATTTCAAACCCATCAGTGATCAGTTGGTTCCAGTATTTTAGAAAGACTGAGGTGGGGTTTTTTCCAGTTTTCTTAGAAAAGGGGAAAAAAAAAAGCAATTGATGGGAGCAAAACAGCATAAAATCTGCAGAGTCAAGTACTCAAAAGTTAGGGAAAAAAGCAAACTAGGGATATTTGGGCAATTTAAATTCAGCTTTTTGGGCAGCTTCCCATGGTGTACTCAACTGCAAGGTTAGGACCCATTTTTCCTGCCGAGCTCCAGCCTCGCTCCATGCAACGGGTAGGGCAACGCTCGCCTAACGAGCGGCCGCTCAGTAAACTGGTCGTGGCCTCAAACCTTATTTATTGCACGTTATTAAACCCTGCGCTGGGGACAGAGCAATCAGTCGCTTCACGTGTTTCGTGATGGTGCTTGGTACAAAAGAACTCCCTGCTGCACGGTCCTCGTTTATCACGGTGAAACCTTGCGAGGTGAGGAAACGCCACGAGCAGAAACGGACCTCGACATTCGACCATCTCTTCCATGCAGATATTCCTTCTCCTCCAGCAATTTCTCCTTCCCTCGTTCCCTGCACCCCTTCGCCATCAGCAACCCCCGTGGCAGGGGGCACCTACAAGA